ATGAGAAAAACAATCCATTAACACAAGATAAACTTCTTGAACGACTTGAGTACATGACCAAAACAGTCTTTCCAGCAATCAAAGAAAATACAGAGAACACTCAAAAGAGAATGATAGAGAGGTTCAATCGTACAGTATTACTCAACGAGTTCCCCGATGGAGCCAAAGTGATGACACTTGATCCAATTCTCGGCGAAAAATTATCACCAAGATATGAAGGACCATACACAGTAGTCAACCGCAACGCGGGTGGCGCATATATCCTTAAAGATGGAACTGGCGCTATTTTAGAAAGATCATACGCACCATCTCAACTCAAACTGGTCCTTGACAACGCCGATGAATCAGACACCTATGAGGTGGAAAAAGTGGTAGCACATAGGCAACATACACATGACAGTACGAAGAAAGAATATTTCGTCAAATGGAAAAACTATTCCAACAAGCTCAACACCTGGGAACCAGAAGAGAACTTTGTTGAACGATCTTCTCTTACTTCCTACTGGAAAGATAAAGAAAACATTAATGAACAGCCAAATCCTCTGATAACAGCCGATTCCCCTGCAGATTCTGATGATGAACAAGAAGAACAACAAGACGAAGAACAACATGAAGAAGAAGAATCATTATTGCCGCCAAGGCGTAAACGCAGGCGGACCCGCAATCGAAGTAAGACATAAATTATGTCCATCCACTACATGCCTTTGAAATCCAAGAACTCATAATTCGTTCTTCAAAGGGAGAGGAAAGCTGTCGCATTTTCGTGACTGTACATTATCAAGAAGCGTACTCAGTGAGATAATTAAGGGCAGTGTCCCTTAGTATTTAAACCCTAGACTTAGTAATAAACGATCCCCGATCTTCTTTCTCACTTACTCCAAGGTACGCTATATTTTTCAGTTCCTGACGCCGTCTCTCGGCGTCCGGACCACCGCGTACCAAACCCCCCACCCCTCTCAGTCAATGCACTTGACCTTCAAGCGGACACAGGTTTGAGGCAGCGCCTGATCGAAGGGTATCAAAACGATCCTCGTCTTGGCCCTATCTATCAAAGCTGCCTCCGAGGCAAGTCACCATCCCTTTACTCATTGTATAATGGCTTATTGTATGTTGAGCGGCATGGTGATACCCTACTCTGCATACCAAAGTTCTCTGACCTACGCCTTCTTCTTCTTCATGATGTTCATGATGCTGCCATTGCTGGCCACCTGGGGTTCGATAAAACGTACACTACCTTACGCCGCCTGGCCTACTGGCCCAAGATGTCTGTTGATGTCCGTAACTACGTGGCTTCTTGCTCAAGCTGCCAGCGAAACAAGGCTGTTCGTCGCCTTCCTGCCGGTCTGCTCCATCCCTTGGAAGTTCCTGAGCAGCGCTGGGATAGGAGGCCTTTCAAGTCCAAGTTATCATATGGTGTTTGTTACATCTCTGTAGATCTCGACAATATCCATAGCGACTATGGGATGAGAATGTATATATGATACCAAGCATATAAGACAACCATTGTAACATTTTTTGTTTAACTATCCTACTAAACACCAACCTATTCTCCAAAAAACAAAGTCTTCTTATTTTTCGCACACCAAACTCTTGAATATGTCCATCTACTATTAACCTGTAACCCTCACTGCAAGATTCGACAGAGTAGTTCTTGTATGTGATCATCTAAAGCACTTGTATTCTCAACTGTATCTTTGTCGTGAAATACAGGGGAGAGATTACATTTTAAAAATTCTTGTGCTGTCTATTGCTATTTTATTCTGTGTTCTGTTGCCCACTATGAAGAGATATGCCAGTTATGGAAGTCAACACTCCGTTCCTTGGACTTTGGATATTTTTTATATGCCTTTTTATATCCTCTGCACATGAAGGGGCCGCATACCGTTACCATGGATTTTGTCGTCAAGTTACCTATGACCGCCCGAAAGCACGATGCCATTACCGTCTTTGTAGACAAGGTCTCAAAACAAGTTCACTTCGCCCCAAGTCGCACCACAGACACCGCCACCGATGTTGCCAATTGTTTCTTCTCCAACATCTTTCGCCTCCATGGTCTCCCCCTCACCATCGTCTCCGACAGAGATACAAAATTCACCAGCACTTTTTGGCGTCGACTACAGGAACGCTTAGGCACCAAGCTTGCCATGTCCTCCTCCTTCCACCCACAGACGGACGGCCAGTCGGAAAGGGCCATTCAAACCCTCAAGACCATGCTGCGCGCCCTGGTGAATCACAAACAAGACGACTGGGACCTGTACCTACCTGCCGCCGAGTTCGCATACAACAATGCGGTCCACTCGTCCACAGGCGTATCGCCATTTTTTCTGAACCATGGTTTCCATCCTCGAGTACCGGCCTCTCTCCTCGGACCCACGGGTGTCTCTGACCCTGCTTCCTTGTCGGACTTTGACTCGTTTGTCTATGCTCAGCAATCAGCCCTCGCTACTGCCCGCGATAGTCTCCTTACCACACAAGCCGTGCAGGCCAAGCATGCCGATGCTCACCGTCGTTCCCACTCTTACCAAGTCGGCGATCAAGTCCTTCTTAGCACCGAGAACATCACAACAGCCTACGACTCCAGCCGACCAGCCTCCTCCCTTCAGGCCCGTTACTTTGGTCCCTTCACCCTGCTGGCACAACGTTCGCCGGTCTCCTTCCAGGTCGAGCTTCCTCCCACCATGCGCATTCATGATGTGTTCCATGTCGACCGCCTCAAACCATACCTCCCCTCCCCGGAGTCGTTGGGCCGTCGGGTAGCACCTCCACCCGACCCCGAAATTGTTGATGGAGAAATTGAGTACGAGGTTGAAGCCATCTTGGACCACCGCACAAAGCGCCGCAAGATCGAGTTTCTTGTCAAATGGCTCGGATACGATGCAGCCAAGGACTCCACCTGGGTTCCCTTCAAGGACATGGCCAATAGTCCGGATATTCTTCGCACATACTGTCAAACACACGATCTGCTTTATTTATTAGGGGAAGGTGTCACAGTATCATAATCTGTTGTGACCCTAGATCATTAGCGTCATCTAACCACTGTCTCATCTAACCACATTATCACCTAATTACATCCCCATCTAACCACATCACCACCTCACCACATCACCACCATCCTGGAGCCCATAGCCTAGCACACATAAATACCCTGGCTCCCCTGTACAATAAACACCATCCGTTTCTGCCTCCTGCTCTTGTCTATCACCCTTCTTCTGTTGCTATTACAATCGGCCATGGACCTCATGAACTTTCTCGACTACGGACTAGAAGAGAGAAAGTGGAAGCTTACAACAGTTCACACTTACAAGTCAGCCATTCTACAGCTATTTCCCATCAAGCAACAACTGGAGATTAAGGAGGATGAGCTCTTCAGGGACTTTATGAAGGTGATGGGCACAGGCACCTTCAAACGGCTCCACAACGCCACAGTGGATCTGACACCGATATTGACTGGTCTTCAAGCACTCGGCGACAACCACAGCATGGACATCAAGGACCTCACCGCCAAGATATGCTTCCTCTTGGCCACATGCGGTCTTCTGCGCCCGGACGACCTGGCCTGCACGGACGCGTCTCAGTGCAAGATCAACGGAGACAAGCTGGAGCTCACAGTCGTATTCCCCAAGGAACACCGAGGAGGTCAAATGATCATCAAGCCTGTCATCATCAAACCGCACCCAGTCAAGTTCTTTTGCCCGGTCAAAGCCTATGTCGAGTATCGGCAACGTACATCGAACCAGGATCGTTTCGCCAGAACGACACACCCCAAGGTCGAGACAGAGCCCTTCACTCCTCTCATCCGACATGTGCGTCGAGCCAACCTGGGATTGAGTTCAGATCGGATCCGGAAATACATCCAAGAGATCATGCAACTGATGCCACGAGACGAGACCCAGCCACCATACAAGGCCCGAGCAGTGGGCACTACCGCCGCACTTGAGAAGGGGATCCCACTGGACGATGTCGTCACACACGGCAACTGGTCATCCCCAGCCATCGTTGAAGCGTTCTACAGAATCTCACGGTCCCTGGCGAACAACTTCACCACAGCCATTCTTTCCTAACTTTGGATTCACAGATAGAGTCCCTGGCAAGGAAGAATAATGGTTAGCGTTGCCGAATGTAATGACGGCTAAAGCCTATTATTCGACAACGCCAGGGACTCTAGATGTCCCACCCGACCCGCCCTTTTCTAGCGAGTAGATAGAGATCAACAGATCACCTAGAGTCCCCTTTATTTTGTTTTCATTTTCATTTTCAATTTTAATTTTTTTTTCGGAAGCCACGGTTAATAATAAAAGAAAGATACACACATCTAGAGTCCCTGGCGTTGTCGAATAATAGGCTTTAGCCGTCATTACATTCGGCAACGCTAACCATAAACCTTTCTTTCCATTCCCCCCCAAAAAAAAAAAAAAAAAATCGTTACAACTCCCTGGCATTTTTGTTCCTTCTTGCCACTCCACCCTCCGGATTTGTTTCCTTTGCTGTCCAATGAGTTCTTGCATGCTACCCATGGTCCTTTTTGTCTGTGCGTCTTCCTCGTCACAACTAGGAGGAGTGCTTTGAGTGTTTTAGTATCCCGGGAATATGGATCAGCATTCCGCGAAGTATTGTATAGTGTGTTAGATCGTGAGAGTTCCCAAGTTCACGGTTTGGATAATGGGATGGAGTGCGAATTTAGTTTTTGGGTGTTGGCTGAGAGAAAAAGAAAAAGTTATAGTTAGGATACGGCCTGAACAGTATCAATTTCGACATTAGAGAACATCTCGAATAGCTCAAGAAAAAATGTTGTGTATTTACATCGTAGTCGCAGTGCACTACGGTCCGCATATTGAGTGAACTATTTACACTTCGTAACGCCATGCTAGTGGTGGTTATGCTCGTCCAGGTTTCTTTCCCTTAAAAAACACCTGTCTTTCGCGGCAGTCTTGATCAGGATTCGGAATCGCATCAGTGAGTTCGTATGTGTCCTTGTTTCTCACATTGAAAAAAAGTCGAATCTATTTTGCACGATCAGGAAGGTTCAAGTTGGGACTGTCAGTTTTCTGAACAATGTCAATGCATCCGATTGTTCCAAAAATATGTGCAACGTTTACCTCCAGTGGCAGTCCTTCTTTGCAATAAACGGAACCCTTAACATGCCATTCATCCTCAATAGCAGCGAGTATAGCATCAACAGAGTACATGTCCTCCTCTGTGGGATCCATGCCGAAGCTTGGTTTGGGTGTGATATCGGCCTTCTCTAATGCGTTGTAAATGTTGTATTCTTTACGGAGAGCCAGGGTCGTGTTGAAGTATGCATACAGATCTCGGTCATCGTTGTAACCGCATCTAGGCTCCAGAGTCGTGATGCAAGTTCCATGCTTGTTCCACTCCTTATACCAGAACTTGTTGTTGTTGGGATGTTCCGGTGTGGGGAGGTATGATGGCCAGTACTTCTTCATATCGTCGTAGATGTCGGTCTGCTCGAGCCTGCTTTCCACATCTGTGAGCTGGCGGTCATGATCGCGGTCAGGTTTGCGATCGCAAAAAGACACCATAGAGCCGCCGCATTGATCAGGCCAGAGACCATGCAAAGTGAACTCGTTCATAGGTCCCAGTTCTGGATGCCATTGTTGGGCCAAAACGACTAGACCGTATTTGGGCACGCAACACGTATTTGCGCGTGGGGATCCAATAGAGCAGCTAAGGACATTGAGGGGACACGTATCTTGGCGAAACATCAATGGGCCGGTAGGGAGGGCCGATATAGCCTTGAAGAAAGCACAATTCAATACGATAGTGGTGGCTATGAATTTCATGGTTGACTGGATGAGAGTGAGGATGAAGTGATGAGAAAACTCGTTACCCGAGATGCCTTTATATATGAGCGGACACCTAATTTTTGAACCTGAACAATGTTTATGCACACAGCCATTACTGTAAGGAATTGCGAAACTGGAGCTGCGCGTACAGTGAGTTGGGTTAGTTAAGAAAATCTCATCCTCATGCATCCAATGTATCTCTACCAATCATCATATCAATTTCACTGGGCATTGAAAAAATGAAACAGTGGCGCCCAGGCAGCGTGGTGTCCCACTGAGAACCTCTCCAGCAAGAGCGGGTGACTGTGTGGCCTAGACCAGTGTTGCAGTCCACGTGGCGTTGGACTTTTGTCCTAAATTTAGTTTGGGAATTATTGAAAACTGCGTTCCCAGGCCACATGCAAATTCGCACAGACCGCTAATGGGAGGAGGGATAGGAGGCCTTTCACGTACCAATTATCATATGGTGTTTGTAACATCTCTATAGATCTCGACGATATCCATAGCGACTATGAGATGAAAATGTATTTATGATACCAAGCATGTAAGTCAGCCATTGTAACATTTTTTGTTTATTGCGGGGTTTCAAATAAAATGATGCAAATTTTTTCTGTCTAATGGGAGAATAGTCTCTAATCGGAGAATTCTTATTCGAACTGTTTCGGATTCTAATCTGACACCATCAAGGAAAATTTTCATTTTCATTGCTCTCGCAAAAAAAAAAAGCATCGTTCTTCCACCTTGCCACCATGTCCAAGAAACAAAATCCTTCAAAGAGACGTATCCTTACCCGCCAGAGCGCTCTTCCACAAAAGTTCTGACGCTGTTCTGCACTTCTGTTGGCCAAACTGGAGGAACTAGGCGTGCCTTCTTCTCATACACTTGCCCTGTCGTATTGAAGCATTCTGTGACAATGGTTGGTTAAAATGATCTACGTTGTTTCTCATCGAAGGAAGGTGATTTCATATTGTATTTACCTGTCCAACGTTTGATGGTGCCAGCGGATATGCCTAGTAAAGAAGCTACTTCATTCAGATCGATGGCCATGAAGCTAAAAAGTATAACTGCCCTCCATCGAAGATCCTCGGAATATGTCATGGAGCGGAAATATTTTTTGTGGATAATTGTTTTTTCTCTTTTTTTGTGAGGGAGAGAGGATAATTTTTAAACCACTTCGAGTAGCCAGCATTACCATGCTTGAATAGCTTAACCTTTAGTGTTTTGAGGTCAAACTTTCACCTCAAAACACTAAGTGATAAACTATTCCTAGGTCGTTATTCGCTCTGTTCCAAGCGTCGACCAAGCAAAGCATTGTGTGGAGCAGGTTTAGCATGTTGATTGCACAAAAAATTAGCCCTCTAATCGGAATGATTAGTGGTCTAATTGGAAAATGAAAAAAATTGACATTCGTTTACTCAATGATTAGCTGTCCGAATTAATTATTTTACTTGAAACGCGCAATAGTTCTCTGCGCTTAATGCGGTTTGCCAAGTCTATTAGGTGGGACTAGACTCTTCAAAAAAAAAGCTCTGGTAGAAGTATTTCGACCTTTGAATAACGAACTTGTGGGCGTTTCCTCCATCTTTTGCTTTAATTGAACGACAGTTTTCCGAAAGGCGTTGTATGGTGGATTTGATCGAAGGCATCACACAGAGCGAAAAATATATGCACCAAGCAACACAGTGAAGGCAAGAGTAAGACAACCAGCATACAGCAAGCGAGACATTCGAGGCGCGGACAAGGAAAAATAATATGCACCAAGCAATACAGTCAAGGCAAAGAGGAAACGAAGGGGACGGATGAAGAGACACGGCGATAAAAAATGAAGCCGCTTGTGTATTTTCTCTTTCGATTAATGGTTATGTTAAAAAACGAGTTACAAAGATGCAGCTAAGATGGCTAGTTGCCATATATATGCAGCAAAAAAAGTGACGCATGAGGGTCATGTAGACATGATGCCATTGCGTTTGAAGGAGCGACAATGGTTCTGATGGCCATTGAATGTCGCACCGATGGTAACTGCAGGTAGGAAAGATTGCATTTGCTGGCGGAAGGAGGGGTATGCTCGTTGCCAAATAATATGTTTGATGGAGTCGTGTGTTGTTTTTGTATGTATTTGCGTGGGAGGGGGAAGGAAAAGATGAACATGTACTCGTAAAACAATGCAGGAAAATGTGGAGATGGGATTCACACAGTTGTTATCAAGGGCTGATCGCAGAGGTTACAGAAAGACACTGTCGTTTAAAGATATAGTGAGCTGAGTGTCAGTGATATTGAGAAAGGGCCAGTGTAAAGTAGCAGCGAAATAGTGGAGCTGGTACCTGCTACATTCCTTCATTTTACTATCGTTAACAAAACGCTTTGAACTGTGTGTCTTCACTCTAGCCTTCAAGCGAGGGGTTCGCCCAATTCTTCTTATTTTTGTTGTAGTAATTCTTTACAAATGTAGAGAGTTGTGCCTGGTCCAAACCAAGCTTGTTACAGGCGTCCCTCAGAATAAGGGTAATAATTGAATCCTGCGTGAGACAAAGATACAGAATAAAAGAGCGTCAATAAAGAGTGAATGGATCTATGATGGCGAATTAGAAAAATTGATTCAATAGACGACACGATCTAGAATGATCAAAGTAATGGTCTACGTCTAGTTGAGACCGTGTGGGATCAAGTCCACATTTGTACTTTATAATGCACATGCATTCTGTCATTCTACCATTGAAATATTAAGAGCCGCGTTCAATTTGTTGCATTTTTAATACTTATCAGGTTTTGGGCCTTCGCGCCCAATAATTCTGTTAAAGAGTTGGTGCTTGGTTCGTTCAATTCCACATAACAAAATTAAGACACGCGTTCAATTCAAAAGCAGCTTGGCCCCACCATGGGTTTGCCTACCTTAGGCAGACAATGTCACCGTATACAATAAAATTGCATGGTTAAGTTAAGTCAATGAGTGGTAGTTCTTATTGTTATGGGGTGGAAACGTCTTTTCTCCCTTCTTCCTCCAAAGCTTTAACCACACTTTTGAACACCAATCCTTCCCTATTCCCATTTACTATCGCGCTCCCTCACAATGTCTGCGGTCCCTATTGTTTTTAATGTCCTTGAAGGACAGTTGGTGGTGACATTAATGTCATGTTCAAATTCCCATTTACATGCTTCTGTGGAATAGACTTCACCTCAAAACCCAAACTGGACCGACTCATATCATGTAAAGGCGAGCCAGCCTTGAGAAGCAGGCTTATGGAAGAGAAGACTATTAAAGAACCGCTATTCGAAGCATACTTTTTGCCGCCGACAGGGGTACAGTATCATTTTGCTTGGAACCGATATGATACTTCAGTTAGAGTCAAACCAAACCTCATGACCTTTTTTTTCTTTTTTGTTTACTCATACGCAGCATGAGTTTCAGATGCGTAAGGTTCAGGTCCATCGAATGATTGAGTTGCAAGATCAAGCACACAAGTTCTTCAAACTGCAAGAATCAAGGAAGGCCATTATGACGCCAAAGGACGATCAAGCGCCTCAGTCAATGCACGTAACCTCGCCCCCTCGACAAAAACAACACCCCTCAACAAGGACAACACCCCTCCTCGCCCCTTCAACGTCACACTCCCCCGACTCACAAAGAGCCCACCCCGTCTATATCCTCATTACAAGAAATCTCCATTTCCCACCCTTCATCTCAGCACACCTCCCTCCCCACCCACTCAACCGACGTATCATCTGTCAGTTCCTCTTCCACTAACTCCCCCTCCCCATCTAGTGATGGACAGATGTCACAACACAGTGTGATGAGCTTCGCATATCCTGTTGAAACAAGCACACCAAGAATTGGGGAATGAGCTTATTCTCCCACTGCCAGCCCCAGCCGAACTTCAGAATCATAACCAACAAGCAATATATAAGCTTTTGTAGTAGCAATCGTAGTTCTTATTAAAAACTCAATTTTTTAGCACGCACGCCATTGTTTGCTTGTTCATTCGTTAACTCTCCCTCTGTTCCCCTCAGCCTCGTTCGAGTTATGCCATGACCTGTCGCAGGAATTCTTGTTCATCTTAATCCATACAAACAGTGAAAAATAAGGGGGATGGAAGGTCTCAGCCGCACACAAGCCAAACATAGAGTACAACAAGCCAAAAAAAATAAGGGGAATGCATGTGCATGTCTGGAACCTACACAACCCAAACACAGGGACAACAGGGCAAACAAAACAAAACAACAGAAAACCCAATCTTCATGAGAGGCTCGGTCCCAAGCCAGATACAATGCAAGAGAGTATCATGGATCGATGATGTTAGCGGCTCTTGGTTCTCATTTCCTTCTTCTCACCTCCATCTCTTATTTTTTACGCCCAATCTGCCGTGCCTTATGCATCTGTGATAACCAACACGTTGGTGTTGCTGTTGGAATGCAAACCTGGGAGAGCATGCACTCGTAGAGGTTGATTGGGTAAATCACCGGGCACAAACCATTTTGCTCAAGAAGAAAATAGAAGAAAGACCATGGAGGAGCAAAGAAGAAAGCAGACATACATCGCCATTAGACTTTCCATCCGCTCTTTTGCAACAACAAGTGTTGAAGGACTATCACACCTGCCTTTTCTTGTTTAAGCCTTTAGAGGTTGTCATAGGCTGTTTATGCACGCCATCTTCGTGATGACATTGAACTCTTATTTTTTTTGGCCTTCTCTTCATCCCTCTCCCTCTCTTTCTTCTCTTCTTCTCTACTTCTCTCTCCCTTACAGTCTCTTATTTTTATCTTGGGTTGACGATGGACCTGGTGTTTTCTTGATGTTTCACAATGTTGTTTGTGGTTTAATTGGTTTTTGCTTTTTTGCATAATTTCTTGGCCAAGAAAAAGGGTATGCGGATGGTCGGAATAGCTTGCCTTGTCCGTTTGTTCTCTCTGCTTCATTGGAGTGCAAATGCGCAAAAGAACGCATATGGACAGGGTGAGATCTACCGGGGAATAAGAAAGGAAAGGAGATGAAAGGGAGAAGG